CCCCATCCCATGGAGGGAGAAAGAAACACATACACTACTGTGCAGTACATCGTAAGGGACTCATGGAGCCATCGACGGTGAGGTGGGGTCCGTATCTGGAATTCTGCTCGACTGTCTTCTCTCGAATCCCTCGGCCTCTTCCCATCTCGCTCAGTGTCTCCCCCACCTTCACCACTCACTCATATGCCCAGTCCTTTTGCGACTTGCGCTAGTCAGCCTGCGGTCGCCTTCTTCGGGAGTAGGTATGCCTCATGGGTCCATGGGATCAATGTCCTGGACACGTCAAGCGGAACTCTCGCGCAGCTGCGCGATGCGATACCTTGCGCTCAGTTGCTGTCAACCCTCTACCCTCAACCCGCGCAATCGCTACCTTACCATACGTCTGCGCCTGCAGGTGTGTGAATACCTTCCGATGGCTACTATAGACTAGGCCTACCTAGGTATTGATACGTATCCTAAGCTGTACTTCCTTCTGTCTGTCTCTCCTGAGTCTTGGATTTCCGAATGTCTCTCTTTCTCTCTCTATCTTTCTCTCTCTCTCTCTCTATCTTCTTCACACGCAACCAGGCTCCGTCCGTTCCACCCTCCGTCTCCGTCTTGCCCCATCCCTCCTCCCACCCGTCAACTTACCAATGCTCCTCCTACCTACGTGGAGTGGTACCACAGTAGACTCCTGTCCGCTCCTCTCCACCGCAACGGGCCCCTAGACACCATCCTACACTACCTTCATAGTATCCGTCACTTTCAACCATGGACCGACCACCTCAAGGCAAACCAGCTACGTGCTACGGCAGCTTTACATTCTGACATTCTGACATCCTCCGATCCGAGACATGACCTGGCCAAGCGCTGTCTAGAATCTCCCATTCCAACTTCACTCCCCTGTTGTTTCTCTCCTGCGCGAGTGCGCGGTCCCTGCTACCTTCTTCGCCCATCATCTCTCCCCTGCTCCGTCATTTTTGCTTTTGTCAATCTCCGTACCTTCATCACTTCCAAGGAAAATGGGGATATGACCACCTGGCGCATGGCCTCTATGCCGCCCTGAGACCTTTGCTCGGTATTCATCTCGCCATCTGGCCAGTCAGGGATGTCTTCGATTACCTGGTAAAGGTGTTGCGGAGAAGCCAAGTATCTCGAGTCTCGACCGACTCCTCATTCCTCATTCCTCAACGGAACACCCGGCACACACCTTCTTCCCACGTCTTACCTATTGAACCCCTTTGACGCTATCCAAGCAAGCCAAGCAGCTTCTCGACCCGGACCGTCATCCATGAGATCGAGAGGGTCCGACACTTCCAGGACGTCGTACAGATGCAAATCTTGCTCGACATAATTCAACCCCCTAGCTCAGACTTGCTGAAATGGATCAACTACCTGGCCTGTGGAGGACCGACTTAGCACGTCCAAGTGCCAATATCACAGAAACACAGCTGACCGGCCATCCCCAACAAGGATCATCAGTGACGTCCGCAGTGCTCTCTTGACAGACACAACCTCCTTGTGGCGGCGGCTGAGGCAGTCAAAATAAGGGTTGGGACAGACAGTGTGTCTCGCAACTGTTGACCCATCTGTCGAGGATTGCGTTGTCAACTTGGGTCGACTCGCAGACACTGACACTGCAATTCGCTGACGAGCTTCGGTGATGGTTCTTTGAAGTCATTCCCCATTCGTCAGAGACAAGGCAACTTCGAGTAAGGCAACCCAGTGGTATCTGCCTGGAGGCAACGGATGCCATGGCGAAATCAACCCATCAGAGGCAAGCTCAGAAGCTACCCGTCCCGTTGGCCATGGGTTCGTCTTCCGAACCAGGCGCAGCCGCAGCCCTGGCGGCTCCCCTCGTCCTCTCTTTCAACACCACCCTCCATCTGCCACCCTTGACCGGACAGTGGTTCGCGAACCGGCCCCCAAAGCGGAGCTGGACCAGCCAGACCAGAACTGTATAATTTTATACAGAAAAATACATACATCTGCTGCAGCCACTAGAGACTAGTCCCTGATGGTGTGCCAGCCCGTAACCACACGTATTCCCTGCCACAGTCCTGGCTCCAGGGGTGTGCATATGCGCTCTGCAGCGCCTGATGATGATGGCCCTCCACCGCAAATCCTTGCCTCTTCCTCCTCGCCTCTCAATCTGCCCTCTCGCACTCCTCGCTGGCCCACATGAGGCTCTGCAAAAAATACGTACCTGTTCTCACGGGGTTTCTTGCTCTCCCCAGTGCTCTCCCAGAGCTTTTGGAGCTGGGTGCGCCTAGGCGACTGCCCTGCCGCATCCCCTGTGCTACCGATATGTCAACCCACCTCATTGACTTATATACATCGAGCTCCGCCACGCTGGTCGCTCTCCGATGACATTATCGTGTCTCTTGCTGCCCAGACCAAGCACGGAAGCAGCAACTCTCTAGATTCCTACACTTGTTGCATTGTTCACTCACTTATAACTGCCTCGTCCTTTCGTCTTAGTCCGCGGCACATCCGTCAACTTTCCAACATCAACAACCCTTTGGTCTAGCCTTGGATATATTACCTAGTACGATCGGATCAACACTACAACGTCTTTCCATTGGGATACTCCCTTACCATTTTCCCTTTCAAGAAGGTCTATATTCGGGATTCTGTCCTGGCCCGTCGGAGTTAACTACCACTGGAACCTCGGATCTTCCATTTAGAGCAAGCACGCAACATGGCCTATTACTATGACAATGTCCATGGAGGACATTTTACCCAAGACCAGGTACCTTACTACGAAGAACAGAGTTACAGCCAGATGCCCATGGCTTACTTTGGAAGCTCAACAACCTCGAGCTCCCCAACACCAGTCGACCCTAGCCTTGGATCCTTCTCCCATTCGCAATGCCAAACTCCATGGCCGACACATCAAACCCACCAGATTCAACAATACATGGATGGACCACGAACGGCCTTCTTCGTCCATGAAAATGCCCCAGTTTTGCTCGGTGTAAGCCAATCTACCAAGGAGTCAAACCCTCTACCTCCAGCTTCACAGAGGAGACACGGTTCCCCGTGTTCTCAGCAGACGCTGTCCAGCAGTGATTCCCATAGCCCACCCACGGAGAGTGACGTCCTACCCGCAACTCCTCCGGACCACTCAGCCACTTCTCCTTTCTTGCAGCATAAGCAGGTCTTTGGAAACTGGGAACCCCAACTACAGTCCCAGACGCTCTTTGGAATGAATATGCAAGGGAATATTTGTGTTAATCCTTACGAAGTGAACGACATGTTCGAGAAGGAGGTAGTCCCAACGAGCTTTGATACTGCAACCTTCAGCTTCTGCTGCTCAGAGTCTGATGAGGCCAGTATCGCCCAGCACTCAACTTTATCGTCACGGCAAATCACCCCAGAGCCCGTCATCAAGCAGGAGGCAACCATGGCCGACCTACCATTCCATCCAAACTACCCTGATCCTGAATCGAACGGTACAAATATCTTTGAACCAGAGATCAAGGCCGAGCCTCTTGCCATTGACGACGACAAAGACCTGGACTACAAGCCAAAGCCTTCGAGAAAACGTTCCCGTAACACCACGGCCAGATCTCAGGCTCGCCCCTCCGGTTCGTCTCATGAACGAAAGCGGTCCAAGGTTAACAACGACATCGGTAGTCTATCTTCAACGAGACTAAACGCAACACTTTCGTCGATGAGGAACCCCAAAATCCATTGCAAAGAGTGCAACACCCCCTTTTCCGACGAGAGCACCCACCAAAAGCACATGAAGCAACATCATACCCGCCCCTTTGTGTGCGTCTTCAACTACGCTGGCTGCCCATCCACGTTTGCCAGCAAGAACGAATGGAAGCGTCACGTAAGCTCTCAACACTTGGCTCTCCAGTACTGGCTCTGCGAGCAAGACGGCTGCTCCAAAACTACCAACCCTCCCACCAACCGACGTTCCTCCTCCTCCTCCTGCTCCGTCACACCAACGCCACCCGCTCTACCAAACGGCGCCATCTTCAACCGCAAAGATCTCTACACACAACACGTTCGCCGCATGCATGTGCCGCCACATGTACGGAAGGCTCAGAAGCAGAAGAAGCCCACCCCTGAGTGGGACGAGAATCTCAAGGCTCTCCAGACGGACGCGGAGAAGATTCGCTGCGATCTACCGAGATATATGCGCTGTCCCGCTGCCGACTGCGGACACGACTTCAACGGACCCCAGGCTTGGGATGAACGCATGGAGCACGTTGCGCGACACCTCGAGCGCGCCGCCGAGGGAAAGGAGCCTATGGTCCATTTTGGCGGAGAGCACGACCTTACACTCACACAATGGGCTTCCAGCGCTGATGTCTACGTTGTCCGGCGGACACGAAACATGACAGCCGAATGGGAACTCATTAACCCGCTCAAGGGAGAGGTTGGTCCCTCTGCTGGCAACGGCAAGGGGAGCAGCAGCACCGTCACAAACTCAACTGTTCACAAGGAAATTGTTGTTGCAGTCTGCTCCGATGAAGATGCTGAGGGTGAGGACGAAGAGTGATTTACACTCCGTCACCCAGTCTTCATGGTTGTTGTTGATCATCTATACGTTACTTGCTACTTTAGAGTTGTTCAAACTGGCATCTCGGTAGTTCAAGGCTTGTTCATGTTTTCATTGAAGTTTTCCCTTTTTTCTTTTTTTTTTTTAGATACCTTTTCTTTTACATTCTAGTTGCTTGGCCTTCCACGGCCGGAGTTTTCTGCTTCTACGATCAGGAAGTTCGCGAAGGAGTAATGCGACTTGATGAAAAAGACTTTCATTTTTTTCTTTTTTGCGGATATACAGTTGGCCGGCATACTTGAGCGGGAACGAGAACAGGATATAATCCATAGTCATGACTTGGCACTTTTTGATAGTTTGTGCATTGATACCAATTTGCTGTACCCTCATTCCAATTCAAATGCTCACTCCCCTCATAGTGCAGGAACTAGTTACCTACCTACTTACCTTATGCCACCATCGGCGAAAAGAGAGATGCCAGTCTCACAGGATCACCGAGCTCCGAATGAACCGCCATAACCCCGAATCCCACTGGAGAACTGAAGCTGGCAAGCACAGGAGGGACGACAACCTTCTTCCCCCCGTGATCTATGCAACAGGATACCATCCTAGTCCAGTCCCCAATGCCGCGCTGCAACTCTCCGTCGCAGAGTCCTCCCACGATGCGGCCAAGCAACCAACTCAGGCGCGCTTCTATACCGACCGAGCCGCCAGCCTCCAGTACCTCCCCGTCTACGCGCCTGTGGCTGCTTCAACCATGAGTTTCGGCCGGCGTGTGTTGGAGCAAACCCCTAGCCTGACCAGCGGCTGTTCGAGGGGAACGGCAGCGGCAGCGGCAGCGGCAGCAAGCAGCCGTGAGGCTCTATCGTCTTTGCTCGCCCACTCGACATACACGACGACACGACGACACGACGACACGACGACCACTTACACCACTATACACAGTTTCACACGTCCCACACTAGAATCCCACAAACCACACCTACCTACAACTACACCAACAGCGTGCGACCGGTCCGTTCACTGGGAGGGAGAACCGGGGCTGGGTGGGCATCCAGCGAAACCCCGAGTAATGCGGCTCAAGTTGGTTTCCCAGCCCCGCCCAGTCCAGCCCAGCTTTCCGCCCTGGGCGCTAATCGACACGTCCGACGTAAGGGATGGGGACGGAGGGTGGAGAGGAAACGGGTGGACGGGAACGACTCTAAGCCTCTGAGGATGGGTAGGTAGAATGCTGACTTGTTCTTCTGTTGGCTGTAGGACTGTACGGAGGTACCTTGCGCTCGCCCTCTCCTGCATGAGGAAACTGTTCCGGATCCTTCTCTCGTTCCTATGAATGAACTTGAACCTATGAGGTAGAACGAAGCAGTAGGTAGGCAGGTACCTTAGGGAGGTGTACGTAAAGATAGAGGTAGGAAGGCAAGTAGCCGTACCCGCCGCGCGTGTTGGGCTGCCCATCGCCCATCGTCCATCGCCCATCGTCCATCGCCCATCGATCTAAGTTCTGACATGCATTCCTTCGCTTCCATTCCTTTCATCCCATAATCCGTAGGGCTCGCCAAGGGCGAAAGAGTATCCGTAGGAATAGGAAGACCGGGGGGAAGAGAGAAGAGTAGGGAGAAGGAGGGGGGTGTGAGATGTGTAAGACTTAGAGGCAAGGCAGAGTACATGCGGTTGCCTTCCCCGCGGCCCCCAATGTGTCGAGACACGGAGTTACAATCTAAAAAACCGGATTTATTCCCTTTTCTTCTTCTCTCTGCCGTTTATGCATTTCCTCCCCACCAGACACCCATAGGGTGGTTGCGCGCTGGCGTTGGCTGTTGGCCGCAGCGGCGCGGCCCAGATGGAGCGCTAGGTCCTAGGTAGTAGAGGAAAAAGAGAAGACGAGACACGGAGGCTAAAAAAAAAGGACAAGACATGGATCGAGAGACAGAGACCGAGAGGGCTAAGACGGGACGGGGAGGGAGGGAAGCGTGGGAAGCTCCCACGCTCTCCTCAAGGCGGAACCGAAAAGCCGTCAGCACTAGTGCGCGTTGGACACACCGGCCGGCCGGTCTATGCAAAGCTGAACTCCATCGAACACATCAGCACCCGGAGAATGGAACAGAGTGATTACCTACCTTACCTTACCATGCGTGCCATGCTATCCCACCCGCGCCGCGTGCCGCATGCGAAGACGGAGACGGGGGGGGGGGGGGGCTGCTTAGCCACGCAACGCAGCTCTTTCGCGTACCGCCAACGGTTCTCCGGCTTTGGGGGGCTGGGCTGGTCTGCCAGCAACGGACACACATCTACGGTGTAAGTCTTGAGTCCTTGCCCACACCTAACCCCCCTCCCCCCATCCCGCGCGCGAGTGCGCGAAGCGAAACGAGCATCTGGCATCCTGCGACTTCTACTCCGTACTCTTTTCTTTTTCTTCACTTTTGGTGACTGCGCCGCGGCGGCTGCTACGGTGGGTACGTTAGCCGACCGATGCAAGCACGGCGCTCCAAAATGGATGGCTCTGCGCCTGCAGCGTTTATCTAGATGAGCTCTTTTTATCCCCTTCCATGCGTGGGCAGTGCCGCGGATGTGTTCCTTCTTGAGGGTAGCTTTGCGCTCGATGGATGGCACGTTACAAATCGGGGTGTGTATGTGTGATCATGGCAAGCATGGCATGGCGGCATGGCCCCCAAGAATAAGGTACAACCAACAGGGCTGGGGATCTATGACGACGATGGTGAAAGCTTTGGCGGCGCGAGGCGGCCATCTTACTGCTTTGGACCTTGGAGAGTTGGATGGAATGGAAAGGTCTACTGCCTGGTAGGTAGGCAGGTTGCCTTTTCGCGGCTGAGGCTCTCTGTGCCGGCATTTACGCTCTCTCTGCTGCGCTACTGTACGCCGCCTCGTGTTCCAGCATAGGATGCAGCCCTCCAGGTCTTACTTTCTCCCCTTGGCTTCTACTGATGACGATGTTCTTCAATGAATATGTTCAATGTAAGGGGCTTGTCGGACTCAGATTCTATCTTGAATGATAGTCTGACAGCCTTACGCAAGTGTGGTTCGTATTCCTCCATAGCTGAGTGCTAGCCTGGACGTCCAACACGCCACAGCCCTACCGAGATCGTGGTTGATGAAAGGTAGGATCGCGGACCTAGAAGCTGAAGACGGACCACGGCTCTGGAACACTCTGCTTCTTTGAAGGAAGGGGGCAAAACTGCACTTACAAGCTGTCACGCGTCGTTGGGAACAGCAGGGGGTGGAATCCAGCCGGAATCCTTCTCGGAGGAAGAACGCCACGGTAAGCAGCTACGTAAGCCGGTTCTCTCGGTCCAGCGGGTGATTTTGGATGCTTACTTGGTACGTTCCAAGTCGTCACGGCGCGGTGTCGGCATTGCCATTTTCCTAGTCCGGGATCCGGACCGCGCTGGGTTGCGGGACCGGATTTGGTGTGGATCAAGAGGTCCGGCGGAACCGGGTGGTCGCTGTCGCGGAGGGGCCGAGGCCACCCCGACCGGAGAGCCGACGGACAGGCATACTTCAGGTGCGACTACCTACCTTGTATTTACCTACCTTGTATTTACCTACCTTGTATTCAAGGTATCTTATGGAAGGCACCGAAGCAGATGATACCTGCCCACCGACCTTACTTGTTTCTCTCCCTACCTAAGGCAGGTAGTTATTGTGAGGAAAAGGCGTCCAGCTGTCAAACGATCAAGCGAACGAACCGGATATCTCTATCAAAAACTGCCTTGAAGCTCCCCAAAGAGCGAATGTTGAGATAATGACCACATGCTGCTGGTAGGTGAGGAACAAAGCGATAGAAATGGCCTGTGCCTGATGATTCGGCGGTTTCGGTGTACAGGGGCCCGCAAATCTCAAAAGTGAATGCAAGGAACGAGCAATACGAGGGATCTATATCTGCTGGTTACGGGTGGCCTGTAAGGCATTCCATCGTTTGTCGATGGGATCAGCTCGTGATTGGGCATCGCCGTCTCCAATATACAGCTATTGAGGGGCCAAGGTGGGATCATGCTGAGTCGTGTTCAGAGGGGAGATGTTGTGACACCATTGGTGTTCTCCCGGTTGGGCTGTCATGAGTCCGGCGATCAACAAAAGGATGCCCTGGGCTATATCTGTAAAGTTTGCGAAACATGTTTTGATGAGTATGTTTCCCCGGCGATGATCGAGAGCCAAGGATCGCTGCCCGGGTCGAAACAGGTTGGCTGTTGGCTGACTGTACACTTCCGTTCAGTCCCAATTCCAGCCTGGTTCTCCGAGGAACACCTAGAATCAGGGTCTCTTCCTACCAGTGAACCCCCAAAAACGGGAGGTCCCCTGCTAAGAATCCGGCGACGAAACCCCACCAGCAGCACTGCCGACCTCTAGGTGCCTGGCTCCGTCCGCTAAGATACACCGCAGACGTGCATCTGACATCTCTGATAGGACGAACAGGACGGGTAGCTCTTGGAAGCCTGCGCCCGCACCCCGCTTCCCTCTGCAAGCTGAGCCATCCTCCATCGCACAAAGCCCGCGCCGTTGGCAACAAGCGCCTGTGTGATACGAGAGAACGAGATGGCAACCTGCCTTACCTTGGATAGTTTAGAAAGGGGGAAATTCTCTTTGCCAATTATCCATCTCCCATATCATCTGTTAGGCCAGCATATGCCTTACCTTCCATTGCCCTTCTTGCTCCCTCTTTCACCCATTCATCGCCGTTCGATCCGCATCCGGAGCTTGTTTACACTGCCCGCTTACAACCCACCAAAAAAGAGGCACCCTGAGCTGAGCTGAGCTGAGTAGAGGACCGCTTCGCTACGTCATATCATTAAGGCCAATCCTCGAACATCACATCAGCAAATACAGTCAGCATACAAACCCGACTTCATCTCGACCCAATTCCCCACTCTCTTTTCTCTCCTTCCTCTTAATCACCTGGCATACGATATTCCATACCCTGAAGCAGCGCCAGACAGCAATCATGGAGTCTTTTGGAGCTCTCAAGCGGCGGACGACCGAGATACTCCAGTCTCTCCCGCAGAACCTACCCAATATGCCCAATGTCAAGAGGCCGTCTCTGTCCAGCGGCACCGGCCCTAAGCCCATGAAGGGCACATGGGAACGAATCGACGTCCCGCCTCTCGCCCGCTCCTCCCACACTGTCAACGTCGTCAACGGCTCCGCCTACGTCTTTGGCGGCGAGGTCAACCCCCGCGAACCCGTCGACAACGACGTCCACGTTATCAGGCTTCCCTATAACAGCGCCGGTGCCGACTACTACAAGATCAAGTCTGCCCCAGCAAAGCAGTATACCCCGCCCGCCGACCCCGAGCCCACCACGACGCAGACGGAGGAGAAGATTGACGACGAGAAGCCTGAGGCGTCCGGCGACGACGTCGAGGAGAAGGCTGCTCTGAAGCAACAGCTCCTCGACGAGGTGTCTCTCGCCTCACCAGGCGTCGCCGGAGAAGAAGGAGAAGAATACTCGTCCCTCAGAGCTGGCGAGCAGACCACAAGTGCGCCTACGGCGGCAGACAAAGGCAAAGGCCCCGCCCTACCCGAACCCCCCCTCCTCGGCGACGTCCCGGGCCCCCGCGTCGGCCATGCCACCGCCGTCATCGGCAGCCGCATCTTCCTCTACGGCGGCCGTGGCGGCCCAGACATGACACCCCTCGAGGAGGCCGGCCGCGTCTGGGTCTTTGACACCCGCACAAACTCCTGGTCCTTCCTCGACCCCGTACCGCCCGCCCCCGGCGTCACCAACCTCCCCATGCCCTCCCCGCGCAGCTACCACTCCGCCGCCGCCACCGACCGCCCGCGCGACTTCGCCCCCAAGCACGCCCGCGCAAAGCAAACCTGGCGCGCCTGGGCCCAGGGCGACAGCGCCGACGTCGGCATCCCCCAGGCGCCCATCATAGGCCACGCCGCGGCCAACGCCACGGACGAGGAGGACGACGGCTACGGCACCTTCTTCGTTCACGCAGGCTGCCTCGCCAACGGGGAACGCACAAACGACCTCTGGGCCTTTGACGTGCGGAGCCGGGTGTGGAGCCAGCTACCCTCGGCGCCCGGCCCCGCGCGCGGCGGCGCCGCCATCACCGTCAGCAAGAGCCGGCTGTTCCGCTTCGGCGGGTACGACGGCAAGGGCGAAATCGGCGGCCAGCTCGACTTCATTCACCTCGAGATGGACACCTTTGACGACGGCGTCTCCAAGGGCGAGATCGCCGTCCACGGCCGCGGCGGCTGGCAGAGCATCGCCCAGGGCGCGGGCGCAACCCCCGGCACCGGTGCCGGTGAGCAGGAGATCCACCTCGTCCCGGGCCAAACATGGCCCGGCCACCGCAGCGTAGCGGGTCTCGAGGCCGTCACAGTCGGCGCAGGCCGGGAGTACCTCCTCCTCATCATGGGCGAGCGCGAGCCCAGCGCGGACGGCCATGCCGGCGCCGGCGCAATGTGGGACGACGTGTGGGCGTTCCAGGTCCCGCCGCTCGGCATGACGGCCGCCAGCGTGCGCGACGCCATGTTGCAGGCCATTGGCCGTCCCACGGGCGAGGGCAAGTGGACGAGGCTGTCGATGGAGCCGTACGACGACGATAACGACGACGGCCAGCCCGCGCCGCGCGGGTGGTTTGCGGCGGCGGCCATGGGAGACGTGGAGGAGGCTGGCGTCGTTGTCTGGGGAGGATTGAGCTCCGAAAACAAGAGACTGCGGGATGGCTGGATCCTGAGGATCCCCGAGTGAGATGGCCAAGTTTCAAATTGCATATAAACTGCATACAGTTGATGGATGTTTTTTTTTTTTGTTTTTTTTTTTCCCCAAGGTTCATATATCGAACAGAGCAGATTTCGAGCAGCAACTCAATAGCAAATGGTGAATGAAGAAAAACTCATCACGTTTTAACAGGTTAAAGGAAAAATTGGGAAATTAGGCAGATATCCGCGGTCTCCGGGGGGGGGCAAAGGAACAGAAGACAAATGAATCTCTAAACCGATCCCATGCATTCCGAATACAGCACATTTGTGTTTTATATACAAGCCGGACTCCCACCGGCTCTATTCCATTTCGCTTTGGGCCCCATTTCGTGGGCTTATCCCGAACGTACGCGCGTGCGTCAAGGTTGTTCTCCTCGCATATCCCCGTTCGTCCGCTGCTCTCTCTCTCTCTCTCTCTCTCTCTCTCTCTCTCTCTCTCTCTCTGTGTGTCATCACACTACTTTTCTTACAAATCGCTCCGCGTCACCTCGGGGCCCCATGGCTCGGAGGTGAGGTTGGTCAGACCCTTTGAGTTTTCGCAGGTTTGGCGACCGCTCTTAATGGGGCCGGGCTTGGGGACCTGGGCGGCGGCGGAACCACCGGTGGCGGCGGCGGTGGCCTTGAGGGCGTCGAGGAGCTGGACGGTCGTCTCGGGGGTGAGGTCCTCGTAGTAGTCGTCGTTGATCTGGACCATAGGGGCGTTGACACAGGCGCCGAGGCACTCGACCTCGAGGAGGGTGAAGAGGCCGTCCTTTGTGGTCTCGCCTTGCTTGATGCCGAGGTGGTCGATGATGGCCTTGACGATTACGTCGGAGCCGACGCCGCCAAGTTGGCAGGGGGTCTGTTTCTCAAAGTGTCAGCGACAATGCATTTTTCTGCTTGAAATGTGTGACATCGGTCCAAAGATTCCCGTAGGCACTGGGTATATCAAAGACGTCGCCTTCCAGCCATAGCCTGACAGCGGGGCCTTCGGAGAATGCCAATTGTATGATCGAGCGGAGATATCGCAAATGAATGGCGGACTCACAGTTGTGCAGGCCTGGATGAAGTACTTTCCGACGGGAGTGCGGTTGTACATGGTGTAGAAGGATGCGACTTCGTAGACGCGCTGGGGGGGCATCTCGAGCATGCGGGCGACCTCGTTCATGACGCTGATGCTGGTGAAGCCGTGCTGGCGCTGGCCGAGGTCGAGGATGGGCATGACGGCAGCCTTCTTGTATTGCGGCGGGTAGCGCTTCAGGATCTCGTCGATGACGGCCTCATTCTCCTTGGTGAACTTGAAGGGGACATCGGCGTTGTTTTTCGGGGAGTCGCGGTGCTGATCGGAAAGAAGAGCGTTAGCAATTGACTCGGAATACACGATCTAGTTGTAGTAGTTTCTGGATATCGGAGAGCCCTCGAGGCATTGCTACAAGGACAATTGACGTCGGAAAGCGAGGCGGCTTACCACTTGGAGGGTGTCGCTGGGGCGGACGGCTGTGAGGGAGAAGGCGCGGAACTGAGGCCTCGCCGCCCGACACGTTGCCGAGCGGAGGGCTGATCTGAAGAGGAGAGGAGAGAGTCTGGAGGCCATGGCGAGGGACGGTGGGTGGCTGCTCAATTGGCGATGGCGGCGAGAGGGCGAGGGGGACAGGCGACGCTGGGCTTTGAGATATTGCGGATATGTGCTGTTCGTTTAGATTCGGGAGGTTCAAAAGTCGTGAGCTCTGCTTGGATAATGGATCGCTGTGATTGGCCGGACCGGCTACTAAGTGCTTAGGTAATGCTCTGGGTCTGTGGAGGTATAGGAGGCAAAAGGTCGACGAGTAAGCGTCATTGAGACTTGCATAACTTACACAATTCAATCATGATATGGATTATGCTGGGGCCCACCTTTTCCTTGGCTGGGCCATTTGGCGACTGCTTGTTCAATCCTTGGGATGCAACTTCTCAGCGTCTTTATCTCTACATAAGCTGAACCAGGAATCCGTCAACTGTGTACGAGTTTCCGCACCAAGCAACAATGCGACAGGCACCAACTTCAGAGGCCTTTGTAGTAAATGGTGCAGCCTTTGATTGAGTTATGGCTCTCGATTGGCGTTTCTCTGGCCAGGATGGAAGCAATGAACTCCCTACCCGATACTTCGTAGTTCCCAATACGGGGGAATAATGTGTTGACGGCCTGTGGTTAATTCTTCTACCCTTCACCCAGTATCAAGCAGACTGAAACCTATAAAAGTATGACCGATCGCCTTGGCGAGCTTACCCAGTCATGACGTGGCTTCCAATGCCACCGGCATAGTCAGCTATCTCAGCTCTTGCGGGTACTTATTCGCTGCGGTCTAGCCTGGGCAATTGACCAAAGACCCCAGCATAACAGCGATGAGGCAAGCTAATTGAAGCCGACAGAAGGCTGGCGTACTACTAAGGAAACAATAAGCACCTAAAACATACCCCATCTCTTGCAGACGCTGCCAATGTCACACAGCCGAACCTCTACCTCGGAGAGAGGCGGCTCCAAAGCAAGACGTTGGCCGTCTCTGGATTAGTCTGCTTATAAAGATGGAGAAGCTGTCAAAATCACCCAGAATGTCTGTTGGAACGGCGGCGATTGGCCAATGCAAGGTTGACTCCAGCCTCAAAACTCGTGCGACCATAATCTTGGGGTACTCGTAGTCGCAGATCCAATGATTCGATTGAGAGTATCCCCATTTGACGAGACGTCTAGTTTAAGCTCGCCAAGAGATACACACAAGAGAGGGCGCAACGGTATCCGCTTCTGTCCGCTTACAAGGTCAATGAATGACATCAAGTGGAACACCTGGAAGATCTCGCGCACGTTCTTCGCCATTCCGGCAGTGGATTGCCCAATTGTGGCCCTATCTACCCCAGCGTCCGAGACAACTCACTGCAGAACTGAGAGCTCTGGTCTCTAACAGAGACAAGAAAGCACAACTCGCTGTATCTCGGTGTTTTGGACAAGCGAGTCTCCGGGCCTGGACTGCCTGGGATCGGTTGGTACCCTCCTCTTCCAGAGTCTTTGGCCGCGATTCGTCCTAGACCTTTATCAGACAAGAGTGAGTGGGTGTGGCACCCAATCGCGAAGTTGAACGAAATGGAAACCCTTTCAGGAAATAAGACGTGTCGTCGGCCGTCCGGTCTTTACGCCGTGCTTTGCTCCTCCTCAACCCCCAATTTTTCCGGTAGCTCGTACTACTGCGTACGGGTTACCCGCCATGCCTCGGTTCTTCTGCCATCTTCCCCAGCTTTGCCCAGACGCATAGCTCAGAACCCCCGCATCGACAGGGGTCTGATGCGGAGATCTAGCGTCACGAAGCCTGGAGGTGCTTCCCCCCCAGGTTTAGATGCATCACTTGTAATCCAAGGTCTCGCCGGAAAGGACCCGGCCATTGGCCGATAGGAGCGCGGGGGGTCAATTATCTGGGGTTTCGTCTGGAGCTCCTTCGCCTGGAAGGGGATCCGTAGGCATGCAGTGATAATGAGACTAGAGAGAAATCCACTTTGGAATTGCCGTCTTCCCCGTCTCCTCATGGTCCTGGTGGTATTTATTTCAACTGGGCGTCTGCCGGCTGCTACCTGGCTTGGTCCCTCTTTCCTTGTAGACAAGAAAAAGACGAAGACAGATTCTCTCTGTGATAAGACAAACTGTAAGTTGCGGGTCCTATCCTTTCTCTCACAGAGACACCCCTCACGATCACTGACTCAATCAAGTTCAGTAATATCATATTCTTTTTTTTCCAAACTGACGAGCCGCGGCCAAAACAAGGACTGGGATCACCAGAGAAGCTCAGAACCTTATTGCAGCAAGTCCCTTCAAACAACGGCGTCCGTTCGTCTTGCGTCCCGCATCCGGGGAGAGCTTCATATCACGCTCGAATCTATAAAATAAAATAAAAAACGACAGACCTGCCTCACAAACGCCACGCTTCGTTCAGAATTATATCCTTATCTTCTTCTAGGGTAATAATTTTCTCTTGAAGACCCGCCCAGCGACAAGCCATCGTTTGAACAAAACCACACATCTCTACTCCAACATGCCAATCGAATCACGGTGGTCGGAGCCCATTCCGAACTGCTCGCTGCAGACATGGATCTTCGGCTCCTCCAACGCTTCCCTCTCCGATCGCAAAGCATTCTATGACGCCGACAGACCAGAAACCCACTTCCTGACCTTCTCCGACTACCGCCTCGTGGCGAAGCAAATCGCCCTCGGCCTACAAGCGGCGGGCCTCAAGCCCGGCGACCGCGTCCTCCTCTTCTCGGGCAACAACCTCTTCTTCCCCGTCGTATTCCTCGGCGTCCTCATGGCCGGCGGCATCTTCACGGGCGCCAACCCGACCTTTGTGCCCCGCGAACTGGCCTACCAGCTCAAGGACAGCGGCGCAACCTTCATGGTCGCCGCCGAGGGCAGCCTTGACACAGCCCTCGAGGCGGCCAAGGAGGTCTCCATGCCCGCCAGCAATGTCTTCGTCTTCGACACCACAGTGCCCGGATCCAGCGCGCCCGAGAAGCCCGCGCGGGGCGGCGCCCGTCACTGGACGGAGCTCATCGCCCCGCGGGCGCGGGCCGAGACGTTCGAGTGGGTCGAGCCGGCCGACGCCCGCACGACAACGTGCTGCCTGAACTACAGCTCCGGCACGACGGGCGTGCCCAAGGGCGTCGAGATCTCCCACTACAGCTACGTCGCCAACGGCACCGGCGTCGTAAAAGTCGCGGCGCTCGAGCCGGACCACGAGGCCACTGTCGCCCGCTCCGTCGGCCTCTGCTTCCTGCCCCTCTATCACGCCTACGCGCAGACGTACTTTGTCGCCAACTTTGCCAAGCAGGGGATCCCCGTCTACATCATGACCGGCTTCGACTTTGTCAAGATGCTCACCTACATCCAAAAGTACCGCGTCACGCAGCTCGTCAGCGTGCCCCCGATCCTCGTCGCCCTCACAAAACACCCCATCACATCCAAGTTCGACCTCAGCAGCCTCGAGACCGTCGGCTCCGGCGCCGCGCCCCTTGCTGCCGACGTGGCCCGCCAAACAGAGCGCATCCTCAAGAAGCAGGACCTCATCGTCCGCCAGGGCTGGGGCATGACCGAGGTCACCTGCACGGCCATGACGTGGGATCCGAACCGCCTGATCCGCAGCGCCTCCGTTGGCGAACTCATGCCCAATTGCCAGGGGAAGCTCGTCAACCCTGAGACCGGTAAGGAGGTCACCGAGGCAAAGGTCCCCGGCGAGCTCCTGATCACGGGCCCGACTGTCATGCGGGGGTACTGGCGTAACCCCAAGGCCACCAACGAGACCATCGTCACCGATGCTCAAGGCAACCGCTGGCTGCGGACCGGCGATATTGCCTACATCGAGGAATATAGCACGGGCGGTCTCTTCCACATCGTCGACCGCATGAAAGAGCTCATCAAAGTCAAGGGCAACCAGGTGGCCCCAGCTGAGCTGGAAGCATTGCTTCTTGAGCGTCCAGACGTGGCCGATGTTGCCGTCATCGGGGTTACCATTGACGGAGAAGAGTTGCCGAGGGCATATATCGTCCGGTCAGCTGATACTAATGCTTCTGAGGAGGAGATTGCAGAATGGTTGGCTGGTCGGGTCGCTAAGCATAAGCGACTCAAAGGCGGTGTGTCGTTTACCGACGTGATTCCCAAGAACCCCGTAAGTCTTGTTCTACTATTGCTTGTGTGAGAATTAGCCTAACAGTGTAAACCAGTCTGGTAAGATCTTGAGAAAGATTCTTAGAGAAAAGGCCAAGAAAGAAGTTGGCGACTCGATTGCAAAGCTATAGAAAGAGGATTATTGACAAGAGGTACTGTTCCTATTATGGAGGGGCACTCACAGGTGAAGATGGTTTACATAGTTTCAAAGTGACATGACTACTAAGGAAGAAACAAAGTCACCAACCTCCAAGTGGCTCCCCATTGGGAACTTCCGATAATGTTACATAAATTCGTCTATAACGTTCCACTGACTAGAGCTATCTTTCGCCCACCTTCCGAATATGTGACTCACTTGAAGTGAGCAATAGGGTATCGTCCATACTGTACAGAACCCTTCCGTTGCTAAACAACCGCGAACTCCCTGCCCCCCTTGTTACTTTAACGAGAGCGTGCACAAATTATGCCGCCCTCCTCTATCCCTCAATGCAGGATAAAGAACGATGAAAAAACCGACCAAACTTGCCAAATAGCGAAAAACCCAATGACGCCTTGCCTGATGCCAATGCTTATGAAGCTCGATGCTGGAAATCATGATCTTCGACAGTGTTAAGATGACACCTCGATCAACCCTTTCGGCTTCGACGTGACCGAAGTGACCTTTTATTCCAGCCCCACAAGCGTCCCCAATCTTTGTAGACAGGACCGATACCCTTGAGAAAGCGCTTGGCGTAGACCTTGTCTCTCTTAGCAACCCATGACCGTGTTGGTGGTTGTCCGTACTATGATCCAACTGCCAGACACGAATCGAGAACAGAGTCAAGGGAGCTCATGTCTTGAGGCTCTGCACCTTCCCACCAGGGCTCCGAGTCAATGTCCATTGCATCGACATGGCCGTTGGGTAGCTGCTCTGTGATGACCGGTTTGATATCAGAAGCTTCCTTCTTGGCTCCAGGAGGTTCGAGGCCTGGTAGCCAGGTGTAGTCGTGCCAATTCTCGAGCTCTCCTTCACGGTAGCCATACGATATGGCCGTATTTATGATCGGGAACTGCGCCAAGCCGCTATCAGCCATCTCCAAGGCAATGCGTACGTCCGCCATGCCAAGGGGTCCACGCTCGCTTGCTGCCTTCGACTCAATAGGTAGAAGGCCGCTCTTATCGCGTGTGAGGTCACCCCGAAGGGCAGCGTCCTCCTCCTTGACGAGCTGGTGTCGGTACTTGTGGGTTTGGATCCATTGGGTTCCTGCTCCGAATCCAGCAGTGGCGCCTTCTCCTGGGCCATTGCTCTTCGTCTTGGCAAATATGGCGGCCAGTGATTCCTTGATGAATGTTTCGGTCGCGACTGTCATAAAATGTGGCGCATCCTGAACGTGACCACTAGTAAGTCCTGCCTCGTAGCAGAACGGCAGCATTCTGCCTTCGACTACAGGGGCATCGGGGAACTCGCCAGACTCCCCAGCCAAGGGTTGCGCAAAGCGCTTGCGTATCTCCAAATCGAAGTCTTCAACTCAGTCAGCACTCGACCTTTACCAGTAAGCCAAGGTTCCACTCACTCATCTTGTTTATACCACCAATGCCTCCTGCGCTTGGTGGTACGTCGGCGGGTTTGGGCTGTCGTCGATGGTGATCCATGAACACATTGGAGAGGCTCTCGTAGGGGTCGAACTGATGAACCTCGACGTTAGCATATCGAACTTTAACGAGCTTGAGACGTGTACTAACGTCATTTCCGACCAAATCCTTGATACGCCGACGATCTTTGGTGGGCAACTGCATCACATCGCCCTTAAGGCGACGCTCCGCCGCATCTCCAGATACAGGCTTACTGCCGACGGGTGCGGTGGGCTTGTCGTTGGCGCTGACCCAAGGGGCGAGCCCCTGGTCGGGCATCTCCCTTGTGACATTGCCGTATATTGCAGCAATTAGCTGATTATGGAGGTGTTCCTTTTCGCCATTGGGGGATGTGAGGATGGGATCGATTCGTTCTGAGTACTCGGTCTGATTCAATCGACCTAGGAGCGGATGTTAGCTTGCGAGTGATGATTGCGCGGATATCCGGAGTTGCTTACCGATGAGAAACTCTGTGGTTGACTCCTTGTAGATGACCCATGCTTCCGGGCCGATGGCCTGCTTCAAGGCGGTATAAAGCGGCTCAAGGTCAATGCGGGCAGGTATGATCTGACTTGTTTTGGCGGCTTTGAGAGAGCCCGGAGGTTGGACAGTGATGGACTTGGTGGAAAGTGTCGGCGTGGAAAGATTTACTGATGGGCGGCTGCTCAAGGCCGCGGGGTCGATGTCGGGCATTGCGACACGGGATGCCAGACAGGCAGATCACGTCGTCGAGCGTATTAGTGGAGCTGAGCGACAGTCGCGTGCAGCAGCAGCGGCGGCGGGCAGGACTCGGCGCAAGGCGGAAAAGATGTTCATGAGTAGCATAGAACGAAGGAGGGCGACAATGCGATCGCGAATTCGGTACTATCTCGATGAACGGGGCATGTTGTGGGCGCAGGCGTGATGACGAAGGTCGGAGGTGATGTCCAGTGGTTGGGTCCGGCTCCGTTTCGTACAGTGGAGGAAGACGGGATGCGATTGAGAGGTGCTGCACTGCTTTGTCGATGAAATTTTGCCGAACTGTCTGACGACGAAAGCCAGGGGAGGGCCGAGCCTGGGGAAGAAGTAGCGGGGACCACAATGTAGTATGTGAGTTGGCAGGGCACAAGGGTTCAGAATACATCCGCAGGCGCTCTGACCACTCCGTCGTGAGCCCCTGTAGGCTGCTTGCAATTGGCATCAGCAACACTATGAGCCTGTGAGGTCGCGTCCGGCGCGTCTCTCTCAGCGGGCTGTAATGCTGCGAGTACAACAACGAAATCAATGCGATATATGACAACGACCGGCGCATGTTCTGCTCCTCACCTCGAGCTTAACCTCATTTTCTCCACTAGCCGTGGCAGCCCACTCAAGAAGGCTTCACCTTGTCTTTGAACCTCGAGGTGGTCAGTGTTCGGCAATGCCATCATGTCCGCCAACCGCGAGCATCGCATTGCCGGTGCCGTCGACAGCCTAATCGCACACTTGGTACCCAACGACCCTCACGAGGACGATGCTGCAGCCCAGGAAAGACACGACAACTGTTTTGAGCTGGTCAAGTCAATACTGGATGCGTAAGTCTTAAACCCATTTGCGAATTGTCGAGCATCTCTCGGCCACTTGTATGCCATGTCGCTGACCGGTCAACCTCTAGCCCCGCGTCCCCCGCCATCTCCTCCGACGTTAACCACGCCTCCGATCTGATCAAGCGGAAGCTCATACAGAGCAACCCAAGCCAAGCGCTGCGCTTCTCAAACCTCTACACCCGTCTTCTCTCCTTACCAGTCTTGGGCCAGAAATGGGCTATCCTCTACCTCCTCTATCAGCTCGGTGACTCCCCCGATCCAAGCGAGCCGCTGCCCCTCGTACCACCGAAACCTCCACAAACGCAGCGCGACCCGTTCAGGAAACATGAACGAGAACGATCGTCCAAGAACTCTACACCGATATCGAGGCAAGAAGAAGAGCAGTTCGACGATGCTTTTGCGCCAGAGGGATTGAAGAACTTTCCCCCAAATCACAATAAGAACAGCAAGTCTATTGACGAAAGAGAGAAGGACTCAGAAAAGGAAAAGGAGAAGGCGGCAGATGGCGCTAAAACGGACAAGCGACAAGTGAACTTGAAGTCCACCTTGCTGGCTGATAATTACGTCGAGATCGACCCTTCCGAGACGGTGCTCTTACGGGATCTTCCCTTTACTCTCCAAGGATTATCTTCGACTACCTTGCCTTTCTCGCGGCCTGACACCATCACCTTACCCCCAACGTTACCATCTCCGATCATCTCTCTCCTCCACACGGTAGCCGAGCCGTCTTTGTTATACCGACGTCTCGATGTTTTTGTCAAGTCCCCCGCACAGGGCTTGCTGAGACAAAGTATTCGAGCCGCCATAGGCGGGGAGTTGCGGTCTTATCTCAGCCTCGTTGCCACTCTGGAGGGTCAAATTCGCAAAGCCTTGTCTTCCCTAGACGAATCCGCTCCAAGAGGTGGCATTGGAAAGGCAGGCGTCACATTGAAGAGATGTGTAGTATGGACGCGGGAAGCTACGATGGGGCTGCGGCTTATGAGCCTCATTGCCGAAGAGTCAGAAAGTAAAAGAGGCGGACAACTCATCTCCCTCGTACACGGATTTTCTTCTTCGCACGGTGACCCCATGGTTGCAGCATTTGCCGAACGCCTACTCGTGCATGTCACACGCCCTTTTTACGATATCCTGCGTCGGTGGATATACGATGGCGAGCTACTCGACCCATTCTGCGAGTTCTTTGTCAAAGAACAGAAGCAAACGGACGAGCCAAAGACGGGCGGAAACAGTGTGTGGGAAGATAAGTACGAAATCGACAAGGATATGGTCCCAAGTATTATCACTCAAGACTTTGCTCAAAAGGTCTTCCTCATTGGCAAATCTCTCAACTTTATCAGACACAGTTGCGGTGACTCTCAGTGGGTCGAAGACTACTCCAAGGCGGCCTCGAAGGAATTGCGCTATGGCGACACGGCAACCCTCGAGGCTTGGATTGATGAGGCATATAAGACGACCATGAAGCGTCTCATAGACCTCATGGCCAACAAATTCCACCTTTTTGAGCATCTGCAGGCGTTGAAGAATTACATTCTGCTGGGACAAGGCGACTTTATCGCCCTTCTTATGGAATCTCTCGCCGCGAACCTCGATCGTCCTGCCGGCGCACAGTACAGGCATACTTTGACGGCTCAGTTGGAACACGCCATTCGCGGGTCCAACGCGCAGTACGACTCGCCTGAAGTCCTTCGCCGCCTTGACGCCCGAATGCTTCAGCTATCCCATGGCGATATTGGCTGGGATTGTTTTACATTGGAGTACAAGGTTGATGCTCCGGTCGACGTTGTCGTGACCGACTGGGGCAACCGCCAATATCTGAAGGTATTCAACTTTCTATGGCGCATCAAGCGTGTCGAATTTGCCCTCGCCTCTACTTGGCGCAAGTGTATGACAGGTTCACGTGGGGTGCTTCAGAATTCCGACCCCATCGTTGTGCAAACGTGGAAATCAACGCGCGGCATTCTTGCAGAGATGATTCACTTCATTGGCCAGCTACAATACTACATCTTGTTCGAAGTCATCGAGTCGTCCTGGAACGAGCTTCAGAAACGGATACATCGCGAGGGCTGTACCCTCGACGACCTCATCAAAGCACATACTCGATACCTCAACGACATTACTCACAAAGGCCTCCTAGGCGCGCGGCGTAGCGTCCGACACGCTGATATAGCCACTGGCGAAGACGACCGCACCTCATACCTGTCTCAGCTCGGTGACCTCCTGCGCGCCATGCTCAGCTACCGCGACTCCGTCGACGGCCTCTACAGCTGGAGCGTGTCCGACTTTACACGGCGGCAGGAGGCCGACGTGATGCGCATCTCCACCCGCGGGCCGCGCCACCAAAAGAAGGAATCTATGCCGGGAGGAGATGGCGAGGACGAGAACCCGGCCGTCGCGTCAGAATTCCCCGTCCTGCAGGACCGTCTGCGCCAGCTCGGCGCCACGTTCCGCACCCGCCTCCAAATCCTGCTGGGCGACCTCGCGTACCAGCCGGACGTTGACATGCGTTTCCTCGGTGTCGCCATGAATTTCAACGATGTCTATCAGCCCTCGCGAAGGAAGACAAAGACCACGTCGACGGCCTCTGCAAACACTTCGAGGGCTTGAAGTGTGGAAATCGTGAGAACGAGACATGGGAAAGCTGAATAGAAAAGTTTTGGGGCCAAAAAGGGAACTGGCATTGGATCCGAATCAAAGCTGAACATTAGGACACGGCCCAGATGGAATGAGAACGAACGCCCAAAGTGAGTGCCATTTGACCGGCCCCACACCCGCAACGTGATCTCGATCGCGCGAAAAACGTCGCATTCCCGACTCCAGTGTCAGAGTCAGTACGGAGTATTTGATTCTTAGAGGGAAGCTTTGGGGGCCAAGCGAGGCATTCGGGGTTCGGGGGGGGGGGGGGGGGGCCTCCGGGGGAAAAGAAAAGCGGCCCCGGGGTTTGGGGGGGGGGGGCGACGCCCCGGGGGGGGGGGGGGGGGGGGGGAAGAGGGGGGGGGGGGGGGGGTGTGTTGTGGTGGGGGGGGGGGGTGGGGGGGGGGGGGGGGGGGGGGGGGGGGGGGGGGGGGGGGGGGGGGGGCTTCCAGGGCTAAGACAACATGGCCACGCGATTTCGCGGAGTCGGCGCAAGCTCCGCGGGAGGAAGGTGGGAGGTGAACAAGGCGGTGGGTGGGGAGAAATTCCACGTTTCCCGTCCGCGCAATGGTAAAGAGACATTTAGAATTAGGGCGTTTGCGGCTTTTGCATACCTGGGTGGGCGGATGGGAAAGGCAGAGAACCCGATACTTGATTGGAGCTTTTACGTAGAAGTAAACTGCAGAGAAGCCTCTCATGAATGATGAACCATCTTACCTACCCATCCTCACGACAACTTGTCACGTTGCAATGAACCGTCCTTTACAAGGCTGTTCTTCTACCCTGTGAGGTTCGTCAAGGGCCACAGCAACGTCCAGTTCACAGACGATGTAGATAGGCTAAGACAGGCAAACGGCAATCACACTTGAACATTTGGGACCTTGAGTGAATTTTTAATGAAAAGTTCATAACTATCATGCCATTTCGTCATGGAATCATGAGCCAAAAAAGATTGCAACCTTCCCAATGACAAAGGGAACAGGCGCAGTCTGGCCAGGAGATGATCTATCTGATCCTTGGGTGAACACGTATAATACGGTTACCATGCAGAATTTCCTCACAAGAGAAGAAACATGTAAAAAAAGACAACAACCATACCCAGGGCTATGAATGCGCTCGAAGGCACAGCACAAAAGAAAAGCCCGTTTCCATTCCTCCTCTCCCAATCGCCAGCCGATACTCTGACAAAATTACTCAAATGTACATGTTGCGATGCACGCGCAATGCAGCCCGGAGCCTCCGTTTCCCATCGAAGCCTTTTTGGTACCGTCATTGTCCTATGGTGCTGTGAACCAGAGACCCAGAAGAAACCGCGTGTTTCGAGTCTCTCTAAAGCCCGGTGTTTTTCCTGGTTCCCGTTTTTGTTTTCGTACTCGACGCCAAGGTTGTTGCCGAGACGGTGCCTACTCAGACACGTCTCCCAGAATCCATATCTAGTCTATACACGAAAGTCTCGTGGCGGCCGCAGCCATGGCATGAAAAAATGCTCAACAGTTGATGAGCCATGCCACCGAGCCGCCAAACTTTCCAACTTTCTTTTTCGAAACAAATATTCTCTGGCGATGCTTTGCAAGCGAGTGCCCGCGTATAGGCATGCCAAGAGGATTGACGCCAAGACTCGTTCGCGAAGTCGAACAGTTTGAAATCGTGATATGCCGCAGAACATACGACCAAAGAGGAAGGTCATAATAGTCTCCACAGCAGATAGTGCTGAACTCGCCAAAAGGCTGAACCGTAGCATCGTGATTTCGTAAGGTGTACGCCGCCGTAATAAAGTAAATTCTGATGGCCATCAAAGACTGCGAGACACGTGCTCGCCTTCCAACGCCATCTTCCAGAATTCCAATTCGAATTCGCCGTATCCACTGCAAGGGAGATCCAGCCAGAATCGATCAATCAAGACAATGCGTTCAAGAACTCCACGCGCTCTACAAATCCAGAGCCGTGAGTAAAAGTCCAAGCCGAGAAAGAAGGCATGTTTATGTGACGGACGTGTCTAGACGTCCATCATTTCTGTGTCCTCGTCCACCAAGGTGGGAAGGGTGGTTGACTCGCTAGGTCCCCAGACACCTTCGAAGACAGTCGCAGCTGATCTGCGACGTTCGGCGACCCACGACATCGCCGTAGTGGTCAGTAATTGTTGAATGGTGGGTCGCTCGCCAGGCTCGGGTCTGACCATCCAGCGGACGATTTGATCGAGTGAGCTGGGGTGGAAAGGGTCGCTCATAAAATCCGGAGGGGATCTGAGCTCGGTGCGCTTTCGTGTAATGAAAGGGCTGCTTTCGTCGTCCATGACCACGTTCACCCGAGTTGGGGCGATTCCCGAATGCAGGCTGATATCCGGAGCACTGGTCTGACCGAGGAGTGGGTCGTCCAGCGATTGCATAGTAGGAACACCAGCGGCATCTCGGTATGAACTAGTCGTAGTGGTGGCGCTGAAGGTCAAGCTAGGAACTTCGGACAAGTCACCAGAGCGAAGAGCAATCCAAGTAGGGCCGTTGTCGGGGAGAACGACGTTGGCAGCCATCTCAATCAGAATGAGACCGAGTGAGAAAATATCCGCAGGCTTGTTGAAATCGCCGCGAAGGATTTCAGGACCAATGTACTCTCTGTCTCCCTCGGCGTCGACGCCCTTGGCAGCAGGCCACTCGGTAGCCAGGCCAAAGTCACCAATTTTAAGGATACCCTCAAATGTGATGAGAATGTTCGCCGGCTTCAGGTCGAGATGAATAAAACCAGCTTCGTGAATGCTTTGAAGACCCTATCTCGAAGTCAGTCGTCAGTCGTCACAAACACAAGGCAATCTTTACTCACCAAGCCAATGTCGTGGATAACCTTCCAAATACGGAAGTCATCCAGTCGGCCTTTGCGACCAACATTGCTCAAGAACTTGTCCAAGGTGCCTTCGTCGCAGTATTCGGTTTGGATGTAAAGGTATTGGTTGTATTCCCAGCTGTCGACGTAGTGGACAACGTGGTCTGCGTGTGTCAGGGCCTGAAGTGCGTGCACTTCCCTCAGCTTGGCCAGACGATCCTTGGGTCCAGTGAATTGGCGGCGTGCCTTCTTCACGGCGTAAATACGATCGGGCTCGGGACTCTCGCGAGGGTTCTTCGTCGGAGTTCCACTAAAGACAGAGAGGAACGAGGCACGGGAGTATCCGTTCTTGACCACGCGGTAGACGGAAGAGAACTCTCCCTTGCCAATCATCTCGACCTTGTCAAAGCGCGAATAGAGTGAGTCTTCGACATCGCCGCCACCACGACCGGCATTGACGGGGGTCATGAGGTGTGTCGAAGTGCTTTGGAAGGACTCTCGCCCGGATGGAGTAACCGGGGTAGTAGTGCTCCGCGTTGACTCGGCTGGATTCGAGATTGACAGGCAGCTGGCATCGGGAAGAACAACGTGAGATGAGGGAGTCCTCGGAGAGCGCTGTTCCACAGGGCTAGCTATATGGTGAGGAGTAATCTTAGCCAAAATGTCCTTTTGATAATCACAATCCGTTGTGCTGGTACAAAGTCGGGTCCGCAATGGCGAAGGAGCACTAAACCCCCTTCCAGACCTCGATCGACCAAAAGATGGCAAAGAAAGACGCTGCGTAGGAGACAGTCCATCGGTAAGAGAGCTAGTTGAACCGGGCGGAGAACTCGGTAGGGGGCAACTGGCACTCTTGTCGTCGGACCGCTCCTGAGCGGTATACATACCAGTAGATTCTCTGGAGATCATCGGCCGCACAGCTGACATGGGAGGTGGAAGTGACCTCTTGGCGCTGGGGCTTTCGATGCTCTGCTCACTCAAGTTGCTCAAGCTGGGAGTGAGCCCCTTGCTCGGTGTGAGTCCATGTTTCGTAGGAGTAGGAGGGGCGTCGATGTCAGCCCCGAGGCCAGTGTTGAAGTTGGTGTCGAGGGAGAATTTCTTATCATCATCCAGACTCAAGACACTTCCTCGGCGTGCATGGCGCGATCCAAGCCTTTGGAAGATGCCCAGACCCTTTCCGGGATTGCCACCGAAGGTGCTGCGTGACGGGGCACCGGGGGCCACGAACGGAGTTGAAGGCATGCCGCCAAAAGAGTAACGGTTGTTCTTCTTGATGGCGCTTCCAGGAGGAGGCGGGAAGGTGGCGAAACCGTTGGTAGGCTTCTTGCAAGGCGTATCAGGCATCGTGAGCTTATTGTCTTCCTCGGGGTTGCGGTTAACCTTCGAAACGAGGCCTGTAGACATGAAAGCTCCCGCCCATGGCTTAGCCGCCTTGAAAGGTGTGACAGTCTCATTCTCCTCCTGCATGAAGAGTGGTCGAGATGAACCGTAAGGCATCGACTTGGCGAAGTTGAGAGGAGCTCGTGGCTTTTCAAAGACGTAAGGAGGAGGCATGCTGTTGTTCTGCTCCTCGAGACTGTTGCCGGACGTCGAGGTCACCAACGTCTTTGACAGCGGATGAGGCTGATGTGAAGACCGCTCAACGGGATGGGCAGAGGGATTGGGCAAAGGCCCGTTCGAATTGAAAGGGCTGTCCCGAGGAAGCTGAGGAGGGAGGAATTGATCCATCGATAGGCGGGGTCGGTTCTTGACGTTGGGAGTCGAGAAATCTCCGCTCATCTGAGCCAAGTGGCTCGCGCCAGACTTACGTCCCCACGAACTCCGATCGTGCTGTCTCTGCTGAAGCGTTGAACGTCGTAGAGAGCCAGTTCTTCTCGGAATCTGAGGCGGGGTAGGCGATGGGATTGGCTCTCTGGGGGCAGGAACGCTTGGCGAGCCAAAGAGCTCGTACTCTCGCTCACGGTTCGCCTCGTCGTGAATGTCAAAGTTGGTCTTGCTCGGCGTGTTGCTGGTGTTGTCGAAAATGGTGAAATCAGATGTGTTTTGACCAAAGCTTGAAATACCGTGTAAACTTCTTCGCTTCGCGACTGGGCTACCTAGCGACGCCTGATCCAAATTCATGATCGCGTCGCTGCGCTTGAGAGCGCCCGATCCCGGTGCTCCTTGCGAATCGCCCTGACTTTCCAGATGCTTGAAAATATTCGACTGTTGAGCGTGGCCGGATACGTCGAGATGAAGGCTATGGCGTGATGATTTTTGGAGGGACGATCGGGAACGTGGGCTCTGTTGTGCAGAAGACTGGTTATTTTCCTGGCCCGAGGCCTCCGAGCTTGAAGATGAGGAAGGAGTGGAATTTACCCCCGAGTCTGTTGTAGCGTTGAGCGCGCGTTTGAGGGGGGATTTAGGCGATGTCCTTAATCGAGTCGCTGGCCTCGAGGGGCTGCCGGTTGCCTTTGCTGATTTTGCCGAGCGTAGAGAGAGCCGAACACTGGGACGAAAGGGTGTGGCAAGAGTTGGCGGAGAGCTAAAGGGCGTCGTCGAGGTCATGGAAGGAGGGAGCCCCGCTGGTGTATGGCTTTGGAAATCCCCAAAGTTGATGTTGTTGTGGCTGCTGCTAGGAGGCGTAGGGGTAGGAGTGTATCGTCGGCAGGGCGATTGTTCTTGCACAGGCGTATGAGAACCGCTGTGTGAGCTCTCTGAGCTGGGGGAACTCGTACGCGCCAGGCTGAACTTTGAAGGTGATCGGGAAAGAGACCTTCGCAGGCTCCGGACTGAGGATGCGAGCACGTCTACATGGTGGACGTGCGTGGGGCTAGGAACAGTGAGTGTTCCGCCACTGCTATTGGAGAACGACATGGTGAAGGTGTTCTTGGTGTCGTAATGATTGGTTGTCTTTCTTTGGTTTTGTTGTTGGTCGCTGTCGAAATACAAAGAAGAGCAAATTCACTTGTAGGAAGTGATGTGATTGTGTAGGCGGTAGGTGTGCTCAGCAAGCAATGAATCAATCCTTGTTCCAAACAATCTGTCGCTGGTATTCGTCGTCGTATACTGTTCCGCTGATGAACCTATGGTGTTGGTAGGTGGTAGAGCAAAGCGCGGTCGATGGTGATATGCCGTAGGTGTTGAGGTGAGGGCTAGGTAGAGCGCGTGTGGTGTTCTGCCGTTCCGTGGACGATCGGAGGGATGCTGACTAGGACGACGAGAAGTGAGGGCAGCAGTGCCGGGTGCGCGGAGGGTAGGCAGTACGGAGTAGTGTCGTCGTTGTTTTCGTGGGGTTTATCCCAAGATGGTGATAGGACTGGACGTGTGTTTAAGGGTCCAAGGTGTGTGTATGTGCCAGTACGGGTTACACGTGGACGAGGCGAAGTGGCCTGGTCAGCCGGAAAGGGCGCCCTCGTTCTTGGTGTGATGATGGGTGTGGACGCGATGTTGCAGAAAAGAAGGCTGAAAGAAAAGGAGGAAGAAGAGGGTCCTGGCAGGAGGACAAGACGAGGCGAGGCCAGAGTAGGTAGGACCGTAACGTAAGGTAGGCGTAGGCAGGCAGAGAAAGAAGGGACGGGACGGGAGCGCAAGTGCGTCTACTGCATGGCGCTAAGGTCTGAGGGGGATGGTTTGGACAAGTCGAGCGAGCAGGAACGTTCAGGTATGCGTCTTGCTTCGCATCTTCATTCCGCTTCAGTTGGCGATTCGTGATCGGCAGAGGACCTTGTCAAGTCATCGCATGAAGGGACGGTACCGGTAGATGGATGGGCTTCTTGTTGCGTCCCGTCGTCTGATGAGAGGCGCGCGCGCGAGAGTGGCGAAACGATAAGACCCTGGGGGAAAGGTAAGGTAGGGTGAGTTTTGTCGGGAAGGGGACCAAAAACTTGGAAACGCGGCAAGGAGATGGACGCAACGAAACGCACAAAACGGGAAGGGGATAGAAGGAGTTGTGAGGGTAGGAGAGAGGTAGGCGCAAATAGAATTCGGGGAAGAGGAGGATGCGCGGTGAGTGTGTGCGTCGGGTTGTGTGCGTCAAGAGCGAGCGGGTGGGTGAAGTGGGTGGTGGTTGGGTTGCGGGTTTGCGGGTGTAAGTGCGAAAGGTGCAGCAGCGCAGCGCAAGACAGCGCGAGCCGAGTGGGTTTGCGTGGGACACTTAGGAAGATGGGAGAGACCACGACCAGGCAGGTAGGTAATGGGTGAATGAATGGTCGATGCAGGCGGGTGGGCAGGCAGGAATGGCACGCCCAAGCCGGGGGATCGCAGTCAGGATGGAGACGTTCCTTGCCAAGGTACCTTAGCTTTAGGTACTGTTAAAGGTACTGTAGGTGGTGAAGGCGAAACTTGACTGGTCTCTCTGGAACGGGAGTGAGAAAGGGCGTGCAGATGTGGACACCGAGAAACTTGGGAAGTTGCTGCTTCTTTTTCGCGATGGCGCGCGTGGCGTGTGTTGTTTACAATATTTCCCAAAGCAGCTAGACCTGCACGTGATTACGCGACTCAAAGTGGATCCGGTCTGTTAGAGCAAGACCGCAGCTGAAGCCGTTTAGGAAGCCACAAGGTCGCAAATGCAGGTCCCGGAGTGGGCAAAGAAGAAAGAAAAGAAAAGAAAAACAAAATCTCATCACCAGGCTCTAGACATGCAGCGTCTCAACTGAAGAATCTCGAGGCTGCAAACTTGTCTTGCTTCTTCGTGATGATGGCCAACTCTGGGCCCGGGTCTGTTTCTCTTGTCCTTCATTATCATGCCCACCCACTAACTACTAGTCACAAGCCAACAAACACACAGATCCACGACCTCTTTCTAACCCTGACATCACTAAACCCAACTTACCCAACGGTCTGGCATCCAAAAGACGCCAGGGGACCCCCCAAGATTGGGCCGGGGGGATGCCTTTTTGGAGGTTTACAAGCATCGTCTATTGGTTGAGTCCTTCCATCTACCTGCAGGGTCCCGCCCACGCGTCTGAAGTCTCCTGCAGCCCGAACCTCACCAGACTCCAGACAGAGGAAAATATGGGCAAGACAACGAGGGAGATCAACACGCTCTGGAGACGTATTGGACAATCAAGCCTGGCGCACTGCGAGAATGCACAATGTGCGGGACTGATCCATATCCATCTCGTCTAAGCGTCCACACCGCACCGTCCAACCAAGACCAGACGAGGCTTGCGCTCCTCCCTCTTACACGGAATTCTTCTTAGTTCTGAGGCATCCATCTCTTCTTCCTCCGGGACGGCCTCGCGCCTATTCGCCTCGTCCAAGATCCAGCTTGCCAGGCCCGACATGCAGTCACACACTCTGCAGTAGTCGCTGCAGTGCCAAAGGGGGGGCCCTTCCCCTTGGTCTCATAGCCACGACTTAACTGCCACTTGTTCACTCTAGACTCCATCGACACGCAGCAGAAGCCAGGAACGCTTCTTTTCTTTTCTTCTTTTTCTTTCCAACTCGTCATTCTCGGGCTGTACAAGATTATCTGCGTCTCGGACACGAGTGACCACATTGGCGAGCCGCCTGTCGCGCAGCGGGAAAAGGTGGGCTCATCATCAAAATAGAAAAGACGGCTGACCCATGGCTGATGGAGCCAGGCCACTAAACAAACGCGACAAGCCACAGCCGGGAACCAAAACAAAACAAAAACACCAAAACAAATACTTCGTCAACACAACCTCGAGGTACCTCGCCGCAAGTACCTTACCTTACACTCCTATACGCACACACACTTCGCAGTAGGTACACAACTCGTCGTCATCGCTGGACCGTCATGGCCACCACACTGGCACACACACACACACACACACACACACACAGGCCGACAGCCATCAACCTTGCCTCACCAATTATTGCCTTCCCAGCTGTCCGGTCCATTCATCATGCAGCATGCCTATAGTTCAATATTCCCAACATATCGGCCAGGCTCTCCACAGTATCGCTCGCAGCTTCCGATCTCAATGGGGAAAGCAGCAAGGTCAGCGATTGATTGCGCCTGATATTACGATTTCATGCCTGTGACCGCGTCATCTCGCTTCACTGAAAGTCTGGAGAGAACGTGAGAGAGAGCACCGCAAGCTGCCCAAAAGCACTCCTTGACAACCACTAGACTTCCAGAGATGCCAGATGGCATCGCAGAGAATCGAGGGCACGGTCGAGCTCGCCGGGCTAGCGAATCTGGGACAACCTGGAGCCTCCTGCCCGGCCCCTCGTCTGCCTCAAATCTCTTTTTTAGCTTACTGCCCACCAGCCAATGTTGAAGCTCCTGGAACGTTTGGGAAAGGTCAAACACCATGGTGCACGGCAGCGGCTATACAAGGTTTCTCTAAGAAGAAAGCGGTGTTTCTCTCCATGCTTCGTTCTTGCTCTTCTCAGTGATCCAGACGGAGCTCTTCAACGGGCCGCTTTTCAAAAATAAAACGGGCGTACCGCGAAGAGAGTCAAGACGCACGCCTTTCTCATTCGGCCCACCACGCGGGCAAGTCAGTAGGACTAGGGCGGGGGAGGGGGGAAGTGCTGAGCTTGGATCCCCGTTCGAGCCTCGAAAGCTCGGACACTCTTTGACCTTCAGATGGAATTCTGGTCTCTATCTTTCAGCACAGTCAGTAGACTCCCGCGTGTCGTTGGGACGGCGGCCGCAACTCTGGAACAGAGGCGGGAAGGGAGGGTGCTTTCCCTCTGAAGAGACGGGAACGACTCGCCGCTGCAACACAAAGGGGACGGCAATACAAGTCAAGAAGAGTTCGAGGTAAGGGGAAGGTGTCAGCCAAGGTAACACCAATATTCCTCAAGACCCGGAGCACACCAAGAACGAAAGAAAAGATGGGATGACTTTGAAATTGGGTGTAAGTGGGTGGACCAGCTCAGCTGAACGGTGAACCCCATCGGCATCCTTTCTGTGCGTCAAATCTCCAATACGATGCAGCATCGCAGATTACGCAGCCGCGGCCCGCCGTGGTAAAAGCAATGTCCTCGGTTCTCGACAATGAACAAGGCAGACTTCCGAATAGCCCGTTGGCGGTACCGTTACTGTTTGGCGGCTGCCAAGCAATATGGGTAAAGATGGCCAACCCACCCTGCCCTTACTGCGTACACAGTAGATCAAACGGCTCCTCTTTTTGACAATCTGCAATCTGCGTGGACGCTTTTTCGCGGAGCCAACTATCCGTACGGAGTATTCCAAGGCTAGGTACATACGATACTCGGTACGGATACAGATGGATACCTTGCCTTCTATCTAATCAAGTAAGCGATATCCATAGAGTACCCGTCGCCGTCGTCGTCTCCGCCAATCTCCTCCCCAGTCCGTCTCCAGATTAATCGGATCTCCCGTCCTTGTTTTGTTTGGAGTACCCGATTTGTTGACTTTCCCATTGTTTATTGATTTGCTGTCAACAACAATAAAGTACCACCAAGAAATCTCCTATCGATACTGGAATTCCTCTCTCCCCCTCCGGAGACCCTCTTCGGGCCCCAAAAGCCCCTCCCCCCCTCGCCTCCTCGGATCCTTCTGCAACTGGCACAGCACAGACTCCCGCAGACAGAACCAACAGCCAAATTGGGGCGGCATAGGCGGGAAGAAGGGAGGGACAAAAACTGCCCGCATCTGTGTCATCGTGTCAGACATGAGGCTTTTGCGAATCACGGTACCCAAATGGTCAAGACAGCACATGGAAGAAGAAACGACTTGTTTTTTTTGACAATGTGTATTCAATATCCGAATTATCGGCATCCAACCGCCGCAACCTATATCCAATCAAAGACTGCTTGGCAGTAAAACCTTGGACAAAGAGGTAAAGTTCGGTGACCGAACCGCCGGGTAGCCTAGCAGAAGCCACCCGTCGTTCGCCCCGTCTATTCGCAGTTTCGCGCCCCCGGGGCTTACC